GATATTGGACTTATAATTATCACGAAATAATATATAAAATAAAATCACATGTATTTAATCACATGATTACCACCACCTTGGCCCTACCTCTATCTTGGACCCTGACAATTATTATTTGAATATAATGGTTGTTATTTGATAGTAATAATAATGTGATTATTGTTTATTATTGTTTTGATAATTGATATGATATGATTATTGTTTTGATAATATATGTAATAGGATGAATTTTTATTTGTAACGTTGTTTATATTAATTTTTAGTAACATAATTAACATGTTTTGATAATTATTAAAATGTGATTGGTTGCAAATAAAATATTGATCAATTGCCAGAGGCAAATTGATTTTGGTTTTTTGTATAAAAATTTTTTGAACAGGTTTTTTTTAATTTTTGTGACACAATAAGATGACAAAATTGATCTAAAATTGAAAATATGTTGGCCTTTTCAATTATAAAAGAACAAAGGCATATAGTTAACTAAAGAATTGCCAAACATATGCAATAATAATTAACTGAATTGGCCTTTTCAGGTAAAATTCGTATAAAATCTATTTCATATTAAATTAGAATCAAAAAAAATTGTAAGAAAGTTGTAAATTATTTCGCTTTAATTTTGATATACAGTACTATATTATTTCAAATAAACTATTAATAGCCTATTACCGTTAGATCATTTATTTAAATCTTAACTAAATATAGTATTTAATAGCATATTAGCCATTAGCAAATATCCTTATTGCTAGCATATTAGTATGCTAACCTTGCACGTAAATCATTTGGGTTATTAAATATAAGTTCTTGTCCCACTTATTTAACTTTATCACAACGGAATTAGTCGTTCGAATACCATCAAATATCAAGATGGGTGATTCGGAAAGTAAATACTATGCTGGTGAAGAAATTGATGTAGAAAAGGATCAATATAAGGCATTTGAATATTATCGAAAATCAGCCGATATGGGTCAAGTAGAGGGAATATATAATGTTGGCAATTGTTATCAAAATGGAATTTGAGTTGAAAAGGATGAATATAAGGCATTTAAATATTTTCAAAAATCAGCTGAGATGGGTAATGCATTGGGGATATATAATGTTGGAAATTGTTACCAAAATGGAATTGGAGTTGGAAAGGATGGATATAAGGCATTTGAATATTATCAAAAATCAGCCGAGATGGGTCATGCATTGGGAACATATAATGTTGGCAATTGTTATCATATAGGAATTGGGATTGAAAAGGATGAATATAAGGCATTTGAATATTATCAAAAATCATCCGAGATGGGCAATGCATTGGGAGCATATATTGTTGGCTATTGTTATCAAAATGAAATTGGGATTGAAAAGGATGAATATAAGGCATTTGAATACTTTCAAAAATAAGCAGAGATGGATAATGTGCATGCAATGTTTTTGGTTGCTGAATTTTATAGAAACGGAGTTGGAGTCGCGCGGAACTTACAAATGGCTACGCATTGGTATCAAATGTGAGTAATTATTTTAATTTTTTATATTATCATTGTTACCATTAATTTATAACATGTAGCAATTAGGGAAAGAAATAAATTAGGTAAGTATTGTGACATTACTATTCTATTATTTATACTATTCATTTAGAATCCAATAATTCATCCAATTAGTTTTGAATAAATCGACGCTTAAAAACTCTGATATCGATGATGAATTCAAAGAAATGTTTATCAAAAATGAATATTCACTACTCTGGATTCCTTACAAGGAATTTAAAACCATTATGAAGGTAGGACAGGGAGGATTTGCAACAGTGTTTTTGGCTACGTGGAATTTTAGATTAGTTGCACTTAAATTACTTCACGGATCAAGAGATAACCGCAATGAATTTATAAAAGAGGTAATTTGTTTGATGATTTATAATCTATAATTTAAAATTTCTTACGCTTTTCTTGCATTAAAAGCTAAATGCATATTGCGATATTGGTCATAAAAACCCGACATTTTTAAGATGCTATGGAGTGTCTAGAGATGACGTGTCTAAAGATTACATTCTTGTAACAGATTATGCATTAGGGGGTTCTTTGCGTAATAACCTTTATTCAGTAGCACAAACTAAATGGAATTATAAGTTAAAATTGTTAATTTGCATTGCTTCTGATCTTCAAATAATTCATTCACAAAATCTTATTCACCGAGATCTACATAGCGGTAATATATTACTAAATAACTTATATAGTGGATATATTGCAGACTTAGGTCTTTCAATGTCGACTGATGCGGAATCAAAAGGAGTTTATGGGGTCTTACCATACATAGCACCAGAAGTCCTTTATGGCAATCCATATACTTTAGCATCAGATATTTACTCATTTGGCATAATTATGTGGGAAATTTCTTCTGGAAAAGCAGTTCCTTTTAACCAAATATCTAGAGTTCAATTTCAATTTCAAGTATGTAATGGCTTTCGACCAACTATTGTCGAAAGTACACCACAGTGTTATATAGATCTTATGAAAAGATGTTGGGATGGAAATCCGAATAATCGTCCACTCGCCGAGGAAATCTGCACAACTTTTACAGAATGGCAAAATAATGAAGGTTTTTTAACGGAATCTACAAAGTTTGATAAAATAGTAGAAAATATGGAAAATTCTCACGAACAAAAATCGACATATACAAGTGAATTTATTCCTTACATTAAAGGTAAATGATAATATACATTGCTATTATTTTATCATATATTAATTAACGCCACCTATATATTGTAGACAGTCAAATACTTGATTTACGTATTAAATAATGTCTTTGGAATATAATTTCATAAACAGTTATATGTAATAAACGTTTGATACTCGGACTTTAATTGTCTTCTAGAATGAAATAGGGAATTAATTACTTTTAAACTTTCATCACTTAAATCTGTTAATTTACGAACTTTTAATTTTTCAAAAATTTAACGACATTTGCATACTGAATAAATAATCCCAGTTTCAATAAAATTTACTAAGCTTACATGTCCAAAGCTTGATATTTTTTTGTTATTATTACGCTAGATCTATTAAGGACATTGGTAGCGAGATTAATGACCAGTGTAACTATCGAAAATAAAGTGATCAAACAAAATACAGTAATAAACTTGGATAAATGATTTTAAAAAAATCAATAAAATTATACGTGCCAATTATAGTAAATGTTAACAAGGTATACTGTAAATCGTTTAGAAATGGTTTAATGAAACAATCCCATAAAATTTATACCAACTACCTAATAAACAAATAAAAATAATTAATTGAAAGAAATAGATGTCTAGGAAAAAAGATAGAATAAGTTACACTCCAAGAACTAATCAGCTTAAGTAATTTATAAAATTGTTAGAGAAATTTTTTTAAATAAAATCACTCACTTTATATATAAAACCAATTGTTTTATAAAATTGGATAAAAATAAATATAATAAAGCCTATATTCACAGACTTATACTGTAGTTTAATAGAATAAATTAAATAACATTTTGTAAATAAATCTAACCAGGACTACGGAGTTTCTTACTGATATTGTTAGTTTCCGCGTGACAAGGGGTTCCACCACCACGGGCTTATTTTTCATGTAGTATATCGAGGTAGAAACGGTCTGTAAATCGCTACACAATTAAAGATCTTTTTAAATACTTTTTACGCTTTTTTTCAGAAGCTCGAGTATATTATTTCTTCTGTGAATCCATAACGCCATTAAGTAAACTTGAAGTTTTAGTGCCGAACTATAAGAATATCAGGTAAATCATTATACAGTATATCATTCGATCTTTGTTTTAAATTTTAATTGTGAAACCACTGGTCAATTATTTTTCACTCTTTGAAAAACAAAAGGAGGGAGGAAGCAGAAAATAGTAATTTAACTAAGGAAAAGTAAGTGAAAAGTGATAACTTATGTCATAATTGTTATATGAATTTTGTGGAAAATCCATTACAAAAATTATAAAAAGAAGCCAAAATTGGTAAGAATCTCAGTTGGAGAGGCTGAAGTTACAACTAGTGAAAAAGTAGACATTACATATAAGAATGTAGGAACTACAACGGAAGATATAGAGACTACGAATGAGGAGGTAAGCATGATCAATCTCATTAAAACTATTGAGGCTATGACAAGAATTTTTATGAAAGAGAGAATGTAAAATAGGAAGTTCCTATTTATTAGCATGACAAACTGCGGGAGGTATTTCAAACAAATAGGTATTTGGGAAATTTCCTTGATCACATCTATTCAGCAGCTAGGTCACTTAAGTGCGGTGAGAAAACTATGGACCATATTAAGAAATCAATTGTTCACATTTGTTATCTTCTTGCATCGTTAAATAATACAAAAATTAATTCTTTTAAGTTTAATGTAACATTTATTTAAATTCTGCAGGTACAAGTAATGAAGGCTTATACACATTAGCAAATATCGGTATAGCTACAATATAGAAAAAAGCTTCTGACACTCATGAGAAATATATAGAAATTTCTTTTAAAATACCTATGACTTTGGGTTGATTTTTTTTTTCCATGAAAACTTTACTGCTGTTATTAAAAGCACCAAAAGATTCGTTTCTTAATTGAAAATAAAGGATCAGAGAACTATGCAAAAATTTTTAGACATTTTAGTCAAATCGTTACAGTAATACATTGGCCTACATGTTAAAAAAAAGCGTTTAAAAAAATTTAGATGTATTGAAATACTTTATAAATATTTGAATAATAAAATATTAAGATGATTTATGTATTGCTATTGGTTTTAAATAAATATACTATACAATTCTAATTCTTTGAAACGCAAAAAAAAAGGTAGCAAATGTTAACTTCCTTTACAAACTTTGTAAACAATTCCTCAAATAACTTGAATGTTATAGACTTTATTTAAAAAAATTTTTTTTTACTTTACTAAAGCCTTTTATTATAAAAACGATTACTTAACGACATTTATTGGAGTATTTGATTTTCAATTTCATAAGATTAAAGCTTATGATTTAATTAACTGTCTGGAAAACTACAAGTCATTAAATTCGCTTTTCTTTTTCTTTTTACCTTTCGTTTTAGAATTTTTGCGTAGAGCTTCTTGTTCTTCTGCCTGACGTCGTTTTTTAGACTGGAGTTTCTATAAATTGTATCGGTAAACAGTAAAAAAATCAATTATTCGAATTTAAATGGACAGCTAGAAAGTTATGCACATAAATTATACCTCAAGTTCGCTCTTAACAAAAGTGTAAGCCTCAAAAGTATGAGAAATCAATAGAGATCTTGGGAACTTGGATTTGATGGTTCTTTTCTGAACCGAATCAGGCCAACACTCAAGTGCTTCATATTGCACAAGATAAGCCGAAAGAGAATCTGTTTCAATAATACTATCACCTACAGACAAGTGTCTTAAAATGAATCTCTTCAGTGCAGTTGCAAATGCTTCTGCCGGAATTTTCTCATTATTGTTACTACTACTATTTTCGATTTCCTGCTGGTCATCAAAACTAACAGCCTTTTTAATTTCTTCTTCAATTGTATAACTCATATTTGCTTTGTATTTTGAATGAATACAGGCTGCGATTACATCTGCTACATGTTCTTCAACTAATTCATATAGTGCCACTATGTGTTTAAGTTGCAAACATGATCTTGTTAATAAAACGTAACTTGCATTATCTTCTTTTAGAACCATGAGCTTCATCCATTTTTTCACGTAATCGATTATCAGTATTTCACGATCCCCTCCAGATGTTCGTTTCAAAAAGCAAATAATCATTTCCAATATAGACAATAATTCTTTAGGATTTGTCATTTCAATAAATTGTGATTTCTTTTCTTCATGAATACTTTCCTGGACAACAAACTTTTTAATTTCACTCAATATAGTCATAGAACCCTGGAATAATTCTTTATGATATGAGAATCGTTCCAAGTACAGATCTTGTTCATTAGGTTCAAGGAGCGCCTTCTCAAACACTAATGAATGAGCAAGTTCCAGTTCAATCTTAAATAGATCATAAGTAATTTCTTGCCCATGACATATTCTTAGATCAAATTGACTGTACTTGAAAATTTCGGTTATGCCTTTGTATGTGACAATATGTCTAGTTTTCGCAGTCTCTAATTTTATCGATTTGAGATGGTATATAACCTGTGAATCCAAATGATGTTCCAAAAATTTAAGAGATTGGCATTTACCAGAAGGAATTTCAATAACATCCTTTAGGAATTTGTTCTGTATTTGAACCAAAAAGTCTAGGATGGCACAAATATATATTGATTCATTGACCGGTTCGACTAATCCGTAAACAACAGAAAGATTCTCCGTCATTTTTGGTGGTTTGTCCAAGTCCTGACATTTATATCTGTTGACATAAGGAATTAACTTGTTCCATGCCTGAGAAAATTCTTTAAATGCCTCGTTCATTAAACGTCGAGATCCATCAGAGTTGAGATCGTCACACTCCTTGGATAAAAGTTCTTTGAAAGTCATTTGACGCGCTTTCTTCCTTTCCAAGCGATAGGAGAGACTTGATGATAAAAGTTGAACAAATTTCACAATTGGAAAAATAAATTGAACCAAACTTAAATAATTTTCATGTTTTAAAAAAATTTCCAAGAACGGGAATAGTCTAACGTGTTCAGGATTGTTCAAGTAATATGCACGGAAGCTATCCATGTTGGGAATTCCAATTTGACGCCATATTCGAGGTAAATTCGCTCTGCGGTAACCATCGTCGACTTTCATTATTTCATTAATTTCTGATTCCATTTTGATTTGAACACTTGCGGATTTCGTTTCTATTAACTTACGAAACTCTGCTGCAGATCCAATGACATTTTTGACAAGGGGTGATACATACTGTGTGCTGAAGTTTTTCTCCCAAGCTTCTCGCTCAGCGGAAGTTTTAAGTTTCGTTGCAACTCCTTGTAGTGGTGACTGCTTCATTCGCGAAAGTATGAAATGACATGTTAGTGCTAACTGTTCGTCTCCACACGCAAGAATATTTTTCAGAGCTGTCCAGTCATTACAGACGTGTCGCTGACAATATGAAATAGCGTTGTCGATAATATTTACATCTGTATTTGTTTGACTGTTAATAAATTTGGTAACAATTTGTGATGGTGCCAATATACCAATAATCGCATGAACAAATAAGTGAAGAATTCGGTAAGAGGCAGGTGACATATCACGAAGACTATAATTGTCTTCGGTTTTTCTTGTTTCGATCAAATATCCTGCTTGAGCTTTGAC